AGAATGATTGTGCTGAGGTTGCCAGATATGGTCACCAGGTAGATGCATAGGATGATCATGAAGAGAATGACTCGGAGAACGGGATCATCTGTTAAGCCTAGTAAAATGAATCTGGTGACAACAGTGTGGTTCCCATCCACTAGGAACTCCATAAGATGGTGTAGCTGCTTCCAGAATGAACCTGTGATGAAAACAGTACATTGAAGCAGTTATGAATTTGATGGTTGTATTTTCATTAATACATGAAGATTAATATGAAGAAATATGACAGTCAAGGAAGGTTTGGCCTAAAAATGTTTTATTTAGGCTCTCATTGATTGTGTAATTTTGTGTAATGAGTCATTCTATATTTTAAAACTTGTTTTTACCAGAAACCCCAAAAAACTTTCTTCAAATAATGCATATCCTTTTTTATTATTTTTATAAAATGTACTTTGAGTGCCTCAAAAGAAACTAACAAACATAGAATGAGTGTAACTCTGAGGGAAAAGTGCAGGTACTTACAAGAGATTATATAGGAAGAAGTCACAGAGCAGAAAAGAGGGAGCAAGATATCAACAGAAGACAACCCATAGAGACTTTAGGCCAGCAAGAAAGGTATACGGAGTGGTGTGCTTCTTCCTTCCCACATCTCTGAAAGCAGGAGGGTTCCAAAGCCACTAGCAAGACTATTTGCTCACAGAGCTGCTGCCATCCGTATGCTGAGAACTGCCTGTTGACAGGGCGTAGTCTCCTTGTGCACTCTCCACCCCACAGACCACTTACCTGTACCTTTGTTCTCCACAGGGGGTTTCAATTTCTCAGGAGCTGCCCTGCTTGTTTTCATGCAGGAATTTCCCAACTCCTGCCCAAACTACAAGGTTCACAGGGTTCCACTGGGTTCTGGGTGATTTCCATGCATCCAGGGCCTATACATTCAGGCAGATGTCCTTCAGCTCCAACTGTTAACATTCCTCATAAAGAATTGTTTTCTGCCCCTTTTCTCCCAACTTGTGGCTGCCAGAGAGAGAACAGAGAGCCCCAACTCCAAGGTTTCCACATAGTGTGGGACTCAGGCTTTTCATCTCTGGGGCCTATAGCAGACCAAGATGTGCTCATAGTATGACTCCTGCTCCCTGGCTTACCTTGTTGCAGCATGCAGAGTAGCTTTTAGAGCCAGGCTCACCCAAAACTGACAGGACATCAGAACATGCCTAGGCACCCTGTTGGTGACTCAGGAGTGGTCTGCTTGTCCCCACCATGGTCTGTGATTAGCCTACTAGGGAAGTGAGGGAGCCTACATAGGTGAATCAGGGGGAAGAGTATAGTGTTGGTGCGTGGTTTGAACTCTCCACTGCAGAGACATAGGCTTGGTTGAATGCATAAAAAAGTACAAGCCAATTATCTACTGTCTCTAGGAAACACAGCTAACCCACAAGGACTCATTCATTTTAATTCACAGTGAAAGGATGGAAAACAATATTCCGTGCAGATGGAAAACACTCCACTGGCAGGGCAGCAGTGATCCTCCAAACAGAAAATAAGCAAAGGAACAGGGACTTAAACAAAACTCTAGAACAAATGATTCTAAAAGAGATTTACAGACCATTCTACCCTAAGACTACTGAATATATGTCCTTCTTATCAGCACATGGAACATTCTCTAATAGTGATGGACATGTCCCAAAGTACTTTAAAAAATAGAAATTGTGTCATATATGCTCTCTGAACACAGGGGAATACTACTAGAAATCAATTTCAACAGAAACACTCATGCCAAAACAAACTGATGGAAACTAAACAACCTTTTGTTGAATAATAGTGGGTCAATGAGGTCCATAAAAAATGGAAAGAAAAAGATTCTTTGAACTAAATGATAATGGGGACCTAAGTTGTCAAAAACTGAGGAATATAGATAAATCAGGCCTGAGAAGAAAATTCATAACCTTAAATGCCCATATCTAAAAGACAGAAAGATAATAAACCAACAATCTAATGAATCATCTTATGGAACTGGAACAGGAGAACCAGCCAAACCCAAACCCAGAAGAAAAAACCAAGTAACTAAGATCAGTGCCCAACTAAATGAAATCAAGAAAAACAAAAAAGATACAAAAGAATAATGAAGCAAAAAGTTGGTACTTTGAAAAGATAAAGAAACAAGCTTCTAGACATATTAATCAGAAACAGAAGAGAAAGGACTCTAATAGGCTGAATTAAAAATGAGAAAGAGGAAATTACAACTGATATCATGGATATACAAAATGTCATCTTGGAATACCATAAAAATCTCCATGCTCACGAACTTGAAAAGGTGGAGGAAATTGACTAATATTTGGAAACACACAACCTCCCTAGGCTCAGTCTGCAAGATACAGAACTCCTTTACAGACCGACAGAAAGCCCTGAAATTGAAAAAGCAATACATCTTTCATATTAACCTGGATAGAGTTGGAACACATTCTTCTTAGTAAAGTATCATAAGAATGGTGAAACAAGAATCCAGTGTACTCAATTCTAATATGAATCCAGTGGAACACAAACTCAAATCAATTCAAGGTGAGGGGTGGGGGAATGAGGGAGGAGGGAGAAGGATATGGGGTTACAATGTATGGCACACCTTTTGCAGTTGGGACACAACTATAAGAGGGACTTCACCAAACAAACCTAAACCATGTAACTAATTCTTTGTACCCTCAATGAACCTGAAATAATTAAAAAAAAAAAAAGCAATAAAAAAACTTCCAACAAAAAAGTATGATCAAGTTGTTTCAGACCTGAAACAATTTTTACCAAGCCTACTAAGAAGAGCTTATACCTATACGTCTCTTAATTAAAATTATTCCTTATAATAATTTCATGAATAATTAAAATTATCAAATAATTATTAATTAAAATTATTAAAATAATTGTTAATTCCTTATAATAATGCTATGAATAATTGAAATTATTCCTTAACTCTGAAAAGAAAGATATCATTCCTAACTCTTTCTGTGAAGCCAATATTAGCTTGATATCAAATCCAGGAAATAACACAACTAAACAACAAAACTAGTGCTTCCTTCAGCAGCACATATACTAAAATTGGAAATGGAGAGAAATTTGTGAAGCATTCCATATTTTTGGAAACAAAAACATCTGGAGGCATCAAGTTAGTAGACTTCAGGTTATACTACAGATCTATAGTTGTCAAAACAGTATGGAAGTGGCACAAAAATAGTTATAGATTTATGGAATAGAATCTAGAGATGAACTCAGCCACATATCACCATTTGACCTTTGATAAACTAAACAAAAGCATGCACTGTGGGAAAGAATCCTTATTCAATAAATGGTGCTGGCATGTAGCAGCCTGTATAGCTTATGGCTAGGAGGAGTGAGAGTTATGATAAATATCTGTATAGCTCAATAATGGAACACCTTGGTGAAAGGGCATGGAGAGAGATTTAGCTCTCCTAACTAGCATGAGAGCCTGTGAGATAAGAGCATTGGTGAATTGGCAGTCTCTACACCTCTGATGTTAAGAGGGACGAAATCAGCCTTATATTAGGCTGGAGGAGAAGGAAGTCAGGAGCATGCACATTCTATCATGGACTCCCTTACTCTGACTCTGTCTCCTCTCCTGCTTTCAGAATGCCAGCACGGTGTCCATCTGCTGAAGATTACTAAACTCTGCTAAAGACTAAGATCTATGTTTCTAAGAAGACTGCTTTACTCTCTGTAAGACACACACTCACTCTCTCCAGCTAAAGTAGATAGCCCTCAGGCACCTAAGAGAAACTGTACTTGAGCAAGGTAACTTAGCGGTCTGTGTCCAGAACCTACCTGCCCTGACACTGGCAGAACTGGTTAGCCACATGTAGAAGATCAAACTTGACCCTTGCCTTTCACCATTCACAAAAATTGATTCTCACTAGATAACAGATTTAAATTTAAGACACACAAAAAACAAAAATTCTAGAAGAGTGTAAGGAAAACACTTGACAAAATTAAACTGGGAAAAGATTTTATGAAGAAAACCCCCTGGAAATTGCAGCAACACCAAAAGTAAATAAATGAGACTTCATCAAGCTAAAAAAGCTTCTTCACAGCCAAGGGTAGCACAATTAATGCAAATAGACAGCCTTCAAAATGGGAGAAGATTTTTTGCATTTATGAATCTGACAAAGGGCTGATATCTAGATTCTATGGAGAACTCAAATTATCAATAAGAAAAGAGCAAACAATCCCATTTCTAAGTGGACAAAAGACTTGAACAGAAACTTCTCTGAAGATGACAGACAGACAAATGGCCAAGAATCACATGAAACAATGCTCATCATCTCTAATCATGAGAGAAATACATATCAAAACCACTCTGAAATAACACCTAACTCCAGTGAGATTAGCCTACTTCATACTTCATAAAATCTGCAGATGCTGGCCTGCCAGTAGGGAGAAGGGAACACTTTTACACTGCTGGTGGGATTGCAAACTAATACAACCTATATGGAAAGAAATATGAAGAATTCTTAAGGAACTAGAAGTCAACCTTCCATTCAGTACCACAATCTCATTACTAGGCATCTACCCAGAAGAACAAAAATTATTTCACCACAAGGACATTTGCACCAAAATGTTTATTGAAGCTCAATTGTTGCCAAGTCATGGATGCAACCCATTAATCCATGAATGGAATAGAAACTAGAGACAAACACTATCAAGTGTGTGTATATATATATGTATATATATACATATATAGATTTGATAATATATATATAGTATCCAGTACTATTCAGCTATGAGAAAAGATGTAATTTCAAATTACTAGGTTAGAGTTGAAACACATTCTTCTTAGTAAAGTATCTCAAGAATGGTAAGAATATATATTTAATGTATGCAATACTGATATGAAATCAATATATGAACAACTACACACCCACGTGAAAGATAAAATACAAATATAGTCTAGCAAGGGGGAAGAAAGAGGAAGAAGAGAGAAGGGACGAGGGGAGGGTGATTGGCAGGAGGAGAGAGGACAATTGGTGGGATCACACCTCATGTACACAATGTGAGAGTGTTCAGCATGCCCCCTGGGTGAAGGGCTCAACTACAACTTGAACTTTACCTTAGAATCGAAAACAATGTAACTGAAACATTTGCACTCTTATATTAATTTTTAAATAAAAAGGAA